ACACAATCTTTACCACCTTCAGGTATTGCAGAAATATGGACCGACGGTCAAATGTGAGACCCAAAAAACAGGTCTCTTGACCTGCCGAAAAAGTGGCAGTGCAAAGCCACAATTTCGGGTCTCTGCACTCGCGACTCGTTGAACAGAAGTGTAGGCACTTGGCTTTGGCGGTAAAATTTGGAACATTCCCCTAGACTTCAATCAGTTATCCGAATGAAACATAACTAAAGCTGTCTCTCTGCGGACGTCGTCGTCGATGCCGTTCACCAGATGGCAAAGTCATCTACAGTGACCGACTATTGGTGGGTTTGCAGAGTATCGGCATTATCGTCAATCACCGTCGCACACAGAGCTACGCAAAGAATGGTGTTCCCTTGGGGAACACCATGCTACTCTTCATAACGGTCAGACAGCGTGCCATTCACTCGAACAAGGCAATGCCAGCGATGTGAAAAGTTTACAGTAAAGAATGTCATAAAATCTCGAAGTCCACACTTGTGTTCCTTGTTAGGAATGGCATCGTGCCAGTTGATATGATAAGCCCGCTCATAGTCAAAGATCATGGCTATCGCGTGACGTCTTGTTTAAAACCATGTCGTGTACCTGTCTCTAAGATCGATAAATGGCGAACAGCATATCAGTTTCTCTCAAAATCCAACATTACACCTTAGACAGACAGCAGTGAACTTCAAGGTATCATACGAGATGATCATGTACCATCCTTTCTGTTTTTCGTAGCGCTGAAGTCAGCGAAACTGGGCGACCAATGCAGTAGGTCGAAACCATTTTTTCCAGGATTTTGTATCGGGCCTATGATGAAATCCCGCCAGCACTCTGAGAAGTCTTCATGCAACCACATGTAGTTGAAAAGTCCAAGGAGCGCATCTAGAGACTTCTTTTTAGGCAATTTGGCACATGATCGTGAACTTATCTGGACCAAGGAACACACCCCTTGCCTTCTTAAGAGCAGTGCGGAGCTCTATAACAGCGAATGGTCAGTTGTGATCATAAATTTTTGAGTCAGGAATGCTAAAATTGATTACTCGATTCAGTTTGTTCCCTTTCTGTTCCGTGTCCGCACTTCACTGCAAAAACCAGGTCTATTTTGTTGGATACTTCTTGGGTGTTCAGCACCGGAACTGCAACAGAAACGCCCCGACCGGAGATGCAGCTAGCTCGCTGCCACACACAACCACTGGGTGGGGGTGTAGCGACTTAAGTCATTCAGATGTTCCGTCCATTAGGCACGCTTTGCCTCGCGTGTGATGCGTTGGTCAATTATTTGGCCTTTTTAAAGAGCGACCAAATTGTCGTTGCAGAACACTCAAAACATTGTACTTCCGCTGTCGCTTAAAAATTGCCGCCGCACAGTCCTCCGACGACCAGTGGACAGGGATCCTACGCGGCAAGGTGATTGTTTCTCTTCTGACGGGTGAGCAACAGATCTCAAAAGCCCTAGATGGCAGGATTTTCAAGTATTATAGATATTCTAGTACAAAAAGAGATCCCGAGAAGCCCATAGAGAAGGTAAAAAGGCATCAGGTCGTCGAATAGGCCGGTCAGGCCGGTCAGTACGAGTGTCAGAGTGCACCGGCCGTGGAGACTGTGGTGCGTAAACAGGCCACACCGAACGCTCGCTGTCTGCCGACGGGTTCCACCGTCCTATCAGGTGCACTGTCTACCTCCAGGCCTCTGAGGGACGCGCCGTGGGGCGGTTGTTTGCAACGCCCACTTCGGCAGGCGATAGGCGACAATGCAGGGGCGATGGAGGCGGGACTGGACGGGGGTGCTGCCAAGGGCGTGTGGGAAGCAGTATGAAGCTGTGATCGGTGGGCGTGGCCGATGTAGCGGCGGACCGCCCCATCGTGGACGAGGGAAATGCACAGCGTGCTACCCGTGTGCGTGCCAAGAGTGAGTCGGGTGACGCGGGCGAAAGCGGTTGTGTGTGCTTACAGTGAATATGTTGGGGCGCCCAATGCATGCGTTCTGTATGGATTAGTTAGCGCGGTGGAAGGAGGAGCGGGGGGGGGGGGGGGGGCTCGCAGGGTCGATATACAGCGGGTCCTGTCCAGTGCAATTTGACGGTTGCGTGGGATCCCTACCATTTGGCGTGCCAGGAATTCAGTACGTTTGTTCAAGCACTGTGGTGTCGTTTAGCCTCGCTTAAATACTACCATTAGGCATCTGGTGGAGGTGGGATCCCGTGGTTCAGTTCGGATAACCATGCGCAGGGAAGAGCCGTTCTTGGTGCCTGACCGAACCTACCACCCCGCCAATACGCCAGTCACCCACTCCATTCTAGCCATGTGACTCACACGTGTGTTGATTGTCCGGTGTACCGGAATCCGTGCGTGCCGAGTCGTGCGCTTACCATCATCTGGCTCGTATGCTGACCAATGGGCTTCTCATGATAATTTGGCCTTCTGAGGAGGCGTAATAGTGGGCAGCCGGTGGCGCACAACACCAGCGGAAGCCGGGTAGCTACGCAGCGCAAGCACTGACCACAGGAACCTCCCCGCCCCCTACAACACACACACACACCACAACACACACACACACACACACACACACACACACACACACACACACACACACACACAACACACACACACCACACACACGGACACGGACACGGACACGCACACCGCACACGCACGCACGCGCACGCGCACCCACACGCACGCACACACGCGCACGCACACACACACACACACACACACACACACACACACACACACCCACACACACACACACACACACACAACACACACACACACACACAGGCACAGGCACACACACAGGCACAGGCACGCGCACACGGACACGCACACGCTCACGCACAGAATGTGCTCGATGACAAAGCTCGGAGGTCGCAGCTGACATACGACGGAGCGGTGCTGCGTCGATAGACAACCAAACAACGTTGAGCCCGTTCCCTTTCGGCAGCCCCGCTGCTGGTGCTGCTGGCTGCTGTCGCCGATGTCATGCGGCGCGGCTGCTCCGCCGATCTGACCTGGCCGCAAGCCCTCAGGCTCTATGCGCTCAAGGTCATCCGCTCACTGCAAATACACTGGCGTACTGTCAGTTTCTGACGGACACTCGGAACTTCGAAAAGGTGGGTCATAGCAGCATGCAGGGTGTGGGCCATTTAGTATCTAAGCTTGTTTTGGGTACCATAACTGTAGAAAAAAATGCAAACCTGAACGACAAAACTGACCTATGCAATGTTCATGCGTTTTATTTCTATGCGTTTTACGTCCAGACACTTTGTGTCGTCGCATGTATCTGGGTTGCACCAGGCTAATGAAATTATAGCTGCTACAAGACAATATGGATGGGTTAAATGCAATAAAATTGGGCCACGCTGCGGTGATTATCAATCCAGCTTGGCAGCTGGGAGTGTTGGTCGCCTCTCGTCGGACTGAAACACCCTGTTGCAGTGAAGTCAAGGAAAAGGGTCACAAAACTCGAGCACACTGGCACCCGTAACCACATCGCGTTGGTTTTGTGCAAATGTATGCGCAGACAAAGACGTCGAAAACCGATGGAGTTTTTGGAAACCCAAGCCACCCAGTAATCCCCAATACCCAACGTTTGGATCGACAGTGGTAGAGCAATGCCGCTGTACACAGCCTGATACGTGATGACGTCGCCCGTGAGATGGAGTAATGACGGTGTCTTGGGCAAGCATCATGGAACGCTTTTTTCTTGCCCCCGTGTGGGCACAATGACCTACCATAGAAGAGAAAGGAGAAAAGTTCCAAATGAATGGCATTACGCTGTAATTTTGTTATCAGTGTGCCCTTTGCTGGCCTTAGTGAGGAATCATTCACCTTGTCCGTTGACACGCTTACAAGTTGATGCCTGGACGCGGCTGTCTAAACTGCACCACAATCGCCACGCGTCTGGTCTCCTAACACCACGTCAGTAACAGCAAAGGAAGATGATGGTGGCGCCACACGCTATAACGGTACAGGGGCACCTATTGTAAGGAAAAAGCAAAACTGTCCTGATATTGAAAAGCATGGGGGTTAAATGTCCCGCTTCCACCACACATCACTGTCCACGAATTGCACATTTCCACATCATCTCTTATCTTGCACCGCAGTTGGAGCAGAAACGGTGACTCCGAATTATCGTTTTCAAGCACTATCCCATTACCAGGAAAACAGTATGTTGAACAGGCAATAGCGTAAATAAACACCGCTCATTTAAACCTATACGTGAGAAAACCGAATTATTCCGTCCATAGGCTGTTTAAAGGCATGCTAAGAATAGTTCTCGTACTACCCCTTCCGGACCTACACATAGCAGATCTGTAACCGCCACAGCAACAGCAGACCAGTTTTGCTCCGACAGCGTTTGTAATCATGTCCTGTGCATGCGCTGCAGGTTCAGGAAACACTGCTGATCAGCATCGTCCGCGGTCACCAGAACACCGCTTATGGCCGTGAGCACCAGCTCGCCTCCTCGCTCGACGTGGAGTCCTTCCGCCGCTCGCGGCCGGTCACCGAGTACGAGGACGTGAAGACCTACATCGACCGCGCGGCCGACGGCGAGACCTCGGCGCTGCTGGGCGACGGCGAGAGCATAGAGATGTTCACGATGACGTCCGGCCACGACGGGCGTCCACAAGCGGTTCCCTCTAACGGCGGCGGAGGCGGAGCGCGCTGTTCGCGGCTGGATGTTCAGTCCTACGCACCTGGCGCTCTGGCGCGACGTGGCACCGTGGAGCCTGCAGCGGGAGATGCTCGTGAAGGTGGCAGAGCCGCCGGCACAGGATCCCATCACGGCGTCCGGCCACAGACAGGCGGGCTTGAGCGCCCTCCTGGCCAAGGCCGTCGGTCCTATCGACCGCATCAGCACCCCGGTAGTCGCTCTTGGTATCGAGGGCGAGCCCGAGTCGCTGTACGTGCACGCGCTGTTTGGGCTGCGCGACCGAGACCTCAGATGCAATCAACTCAATCTTCCTCTACAGCGCACTGAGCCTGACGAAGCGAATGCATGAGCAGCAGGCTGACCTGGTGGCCGACCTCCGCCGTGGTCGGCTGAAGGACGATCTCGCCATTCCTGCCGCCGTACGTGCGCAGCTGGAGACCCAGCTGAAGCCGCTGCCTGCGCGCGCCGACGAAGTGCAGCGCGCGTTCGCAGGGGGACCGACCGGCCTTCTGCCGCGCCTCTGGCCGGAGCTGCGGTTCGTCATGGGCGCGTTCGCCGGACTGACGAACGCAGCGTACCACCGTGAGATGGCGCTGTATGCTGGCAACGTGCCGGTGATCGCACAGGTGTACGGCTGCTCAGAGCTCGGCCTCGTGGCCGCCATCACAGACTTCCGGCATCCCGAGCGACCTGTCTACACCCTTCTGCCTAAAGCGGCCTTCTTCGAGTTCCTGCCGGTGGTAGGCGACCGGATCCAGGAACTGGCGGAGATCGGTCGGCAGGAGCCGCTGTTGGCCGACCAGCTGCAGGAAGGCGGCGAGTACGAGCTCATCGTCACCACCAGGGGTGGCCTGTGTCGCTACAGACTCGGAGACGTCGTCCGCTTTGTCGGGTACTTCAACCGCACACCACAGGTGGAAATATTATATCGGTAAGTGGTGTGCGTGGGTGCGTGCATGCATTTTTGCGAGAGGCTCGTGGGATCCGTCTTCAATCGCATGTTTAAAGCACCAGCTGGCAGGTTTCGATAAAGCATATTATTCCAAGGTACAGCTTTTGCATGAAGCAAAAACTGTTTCCATTAAACCACTTTTACGTTATAATTAAGGTAGGAAAATAGGTCGGTTTTTCCTTTATAGTTGGATCCCTACTGGTAGAAAACAATATGATCCACTGTCAACTTTTCAAGGTCACACGCTGCCACCCTTATTTTGTCTGCAGCGCTGGGTTCATACTGAACGCAAGCGACGAGATGGTATCGGAGAAGGTGTTCTTCGAGGCGCTGGCAGATGCGCTTGCCCTCTGGCCAGCGGACGTGCACCTCGTGGACTATACGGTCGCTCCCAGTCAGCTGCTGCCGCTCTCCGAGCATCAGCTGGCTCCCCACTTCCATCTGTTTGTAGAGCTGGACGGACCGCTGCTGTCTGACGAACAGACCAAACTGGTGAGACCACGCAGCCAGCGGAGCTGAGCAGGCCGTTGAAGGACGTTTTAGCCATGCCACCGAATGCTCACCAATTGTTTGATCATCACTGGATCCCTAAAATGCGTGGTTGACGATTGGTACCGCCTTCGACTTTGTCAGTCTGCTAGAAGAAAAACATCTCACGCATTTCCGCAGGTGGACGAGACGCTGCGACGGCGGCACGTGTTTTACGACGACAGTCGGTGGAGAGAGCGCGTATGTCCGGTCGTCGTCCGCCAGCTGCCGGCGGGCGCGTTCCGCCGCTTCCGGGACCACTTACTGGCAACCACGACCGCCAGTCCCACCCAGTTCAAGATGCCCCGCGTGCTGAGAACCGCGGAGGCGGCCGAGTGGCTCCTCAAGTGTCACCTCTGAGTGAAGCTCGCGAGTGATGTCATGTGCGCATAGAGGATGACGTACCGGGACGAAAACAACAACGGATCGCAATTCTGGGTGTTTTTTTTTAAATCCTCAGCAGCACCTCGACTGCCTTCGTCGACGGCGTTGTCACGACTACCGTCGTCATGACAACGGCAGAACCTGTTGAGGATTGTCGTAAACTGTTACCGACTGTACAGTTACTACATTACTCAAGCATTTTGAGAATTGGGCAAATTTCAAAAGCCACACACAAAACACACACCTTAAAAAAGCTCGGAAAATTGCAAGGACTACACATACAGTTATGTTAAGTTGCTTTGGTATATATAGATATGAATATATAACTATATGTAACTATATATATATATAATATATATATATATATATATATATATATATATATATCTCTCTCTCTCTCTCTCTCTTCTCTCTCTCTCTCTCTCTCTCTCTCTCTCTCTCTCTCTCTCTCTCTCTC